ATAGCACGGACGCATGTCATGGCAATAGAGAATAACACATGTGGCCGATAATCATAATTTACAACGGTCACTCGTAGAGGCGTATTGTCGCATGTCAACTCATTACACAAAATATGTCGCATGTGAAATACAAATACCGATTGTTGATTGCCGTACCGTGAGTTACCAGTCGCCGTGCGTTGACTTGCATATAATTATATTATATCGTAAACCATAACATTTATAATGTTATAATTTATAACTATATTATTGTATGGTCTCAAAGCCAGCCCGAACACATTATGACGTGGTTAGAAAATGCATATCTACCGCATCCGCGACAGCTCTGTGAACAGAACAGGCCCTTAAAAATGTTTTTGCCCTAGGGTCTCAAAACTGTGACTGCGGCAATATGTAATGTGTGTAATATATTGTAAGTCCATACGTATCTTGACTGCAAATTATTATTAATATAAATCGCAAATGAAATTGAATGGTATTTATTTTCATAATACCCACCTATTACATTTTAAACGTAGAAATTTGATTCGTCTGATCGACGTACTATGACTAGATACTATTTTTTTTTATAGATACCATCACTGATTGACTGATTATCATGTTTTTACATATTTTTACTGAGGCTATGCAGTAAATCATTCGGGTGAGGTTTCTCGAAGTTTAATTTTTCAACAAAATATTCATATACACAATTTTATTTTACATAACAATGCATATTTATTATTTATACGTAAGAGAATATTTTATACATAATGACATATTTTAGGAATATTTCTACATTTTGAACAATATATAACAAACCACTTTTTAAAAAAAAAATTATTGTATAATATAGGAAATGGAATTTTTTTATAACGTTTTAATACACTGCCGGTATAGCAGTAATAGTGCGATACATTTTTTCTGTAGAACATTTTTTAATGTAGTTCATATCAAAATGTATGCTTTATTGTCATAAATTGTTTTGATTTGTTTGATTGTTTATGAAATATGTTTTTGCAATTTGTTGATTAGTTATTTTTATTTGTTACGGTTTTTTTATACATTTATTTAAGTATTTAACACATAAAAAAGTTAATTTTTTTTTTTTCGTAAAACCATATTTAAGGTTTAGTTAATACTAAAAGAATATTTCCCTATATTTTTACTGCATAAAAACATCTTATTTTAGGTCTTTATTACTTATTGCTAAAATCCTCTTGAAGTTATTATAACTCAAGAGCCTGATCTTATAAAAATTATTTTATTTATTATATTCCTACTATATAGTCATATAGGTTTATCAATTATCAGCTATTACTATACTACTCAAAGAAAAAAGGATCCCACTTATATCTGTGAATAGAAAAAAACATATTTTTATTTATCGAAAGAATACATTTTCATTTATGGCCATTAAAATACAGCTATTTACAAAACCCATTTTATATTTTATTTCTTCTACAATATATTTTTTTATATACATTATACTTTGAACTACATTATAAAAATTGAACTTGTTTAGAACCTCAAAATTTAAAAGTTTCAATGGAGTCCGGCACACTTTCCAGTGCACTGTCCATTTGTTAAGAGATGTTTTTCTTGTTTCCTCATGTTTACGAAATTCGGTGATGTTAAGTAGGTACACCTCTATATAATTTAGTACGATTTAGAGACTGAACATATTTTACAACTTTTAAAATACTCAAATATACGCTGTATTGATTAAGGACAAAGTTACAAATATATACATTGAATGGTATACAATAATTTGGGTGTATAATAATTGATTTAAACTTAATAATTGTATTGTTCTCGTTAAGAACAATAAAATACCATTAATGTATTCCGTATGGTTTGTTTAGTTTATAATTATTCCAACGTTTTGTTTGGGGAAATGTGAAAATTGTCATTAAAATGAGTCTGATTATTTAACGATAACTTATAGCTAAACTATGATTAAAAATATAATTGTCAGTGTGATTAAATATTATCATTAAATAACCTTAGTAAGTACATTTAATTATTAGTCCGTAGATGAGTGTATAAAATAAGTACCTATAGATCCAATGTTTATAATATATAAAGTATAAATAACTCTATTAGGTAATTGTATTATATTTAATACTACCATAATATACATAATATTAATATATTATAAATACCTACGGTAGTCATCAAAGCAGTAAAATATTTCTTTTCTTTTAATAATATAAATTAAAAAATGAACATGAGTTTGCTGTGTTTTTTGGACGGAGCACTCTACAGATTGTATGATTGTTTAAAAACTACTTATTAAATTGTATTCAGAACAATTGCAAATGAGTCAAACTCCTGGCCGAGTGATTATTTACCGAATGTCGTATTAGGTGCGTAAGTAATTTCCTTATGCACTTGAGTTAAAGAAAAAACAAACTGTCAAAACAAAAAAATAAGTTTATTTAGTAGTATTTCCTTATTGTTAGTTGTTACTATTTTAGGATTTAAAAAAAATATGTGTAAATAATAATTTATAATATTATGTTCAAGTTAAAGTATGAAATTGTGTTATTTCATAAACGTGACTTATGTAGGTACTTTATTATATGCACTAAGGGCCATTGTTCTTTCAATGTCCGGTTAAGTGTCTGAAAACGCTAACCTACAGAATTTATTTTGTGTTACCGATGGAATTCTGCCGGTTAGTCTTAACCGACACTTAACCGGACATTATAAGAATGGCCCTAAACCAATTAAAGCGGTGAACCATATAATATAATTTATAATTTAACTAGATACTTTAATTTCCGTAATTTTCCAGTCATATTGTTATATGAACTAGTTTGTCATTTGTGTAATTTTCATTGTTATCCAAATAAGGTGTAAGGCAATTAAATTGGTTAATTGCATTTAATAATAATTAATATTAATAACAAAGATACACACATCCAGATAGCACTTAAACACTTGTTGGTAGGTACACATCGGTCCTACCACCATTTGAGTCCACAATAATACTATTATATTTTATTACGAATGTTTCAAATGGACATTTCATTGGTTTTATCAAATATTTTTTAAAACAATAATCCGTATATTAATTAATTAGGGAACTCAAGTATCTACAATATAGTCAAATTTTTGTTGTAGCTAGGATAAAAAATAGACAAATACTAACTATAAATTCAATGCAAGTTTACTATAGTTAATCATTAAATAATACAATATTAACTAGTTAATTTAGAAATTAGAATATTTCAAGAAAATCTACATCCAACTTTTATCTGATACATCGTACTATCTACAATATATAATACATTGTTACCTACTTAATTTGTATTTTAAGAGAAATTGTTTTGCCTTGTTTTTTTTTGTAAAATCAAAATGTGTTTACACCACGCGGCGATTACCTGTATGTTCGTATGTTACAAAATTAAAAAGTTTAGTTTTATAATGATTTATCATTTGTTGATATAACTATATAAAAATATATTATTTGGTGATATAGGTGGTGCAAATATTATAATATAACTAACGATGGTTTGTCTAAGAAAATACTAATTTATGACTTTATATGATATATAGTAGGTACCTAAGTTGATTTATAGATTTAATAATACAGACATATAAAATCTATTATATCATAAACCTAAACAACAAGCATTTTTACGTCACACAGCGTTGTACGCTGATTCTGTATACAAATCAATAGGACTGCACATTTAAAGTTAAAATAAGGCGCGTTGCCCCAGGACATCTCTGCAATAGGTAGTTTAAATTCTTAAACTTTTCCACATCAATCTTTCTATAATTTATACTAACATTTACTACTAATGTCAGCAATTTTACCCAAAGCATATGATAAAATAAAAAAGGCAAATCAATATTTTCTTTTACATATTATGTCTCTCAAAAAAATGTAATATTGTATAATATATATTAGGAATATTTTCAATTATTTTAAACTCATGCTTTCCATGAAATAAAAAAATCAAGCTAAAATGTGCGATACAATATTTTTTTTTTTAACTGACATAGTATTTTAGACTATTTATTATTAAACAAAGTTTTACATAATATACAGGATACACATTTATTTAATCACCACTTATCATTCAACAAAATATGTACATTGTCAGACCATTCTAATATAATATTTTATTATATTCATGATTAAATTACAACTGTCAGATTCCTTCACAATCATTATGTACTATTATTGTATGTCTTTTTAACTCTGCTCTTAACCATGTTTCCCATGTTCCTAACGATACAATTATCATTACATTAAAATTGTTAATATTATTTAAGACTCCACTTCCCTGCACCAAATTACAAGGTATGGAATTAACTATCATAATTTTTTTTTTTAACTACCATTTTTTTCAATAAATGGTGTCATACGCTCTGTCTAGCTCTTACAAAATACATTTATTTAGAGTAAAAAATCTTTGAAATTTGAATTTTGATATTTTTTATATATGACGTATATCAATGTAGGAAAACTGGAAAATAATTAAATTCACATACTTAAAAAACTTGACTAAAGTATATTTAAAAAAATGAAATTAAAGTAATGAACAAATAAAAAATGATACATTCAGTTTACGTGATCAATACATTAAAATGGTAATAAATATAAACATTTTTTTTTTTTTTAAACATCGAACAATATAATATAAAATTAAATAGTATTGTTCTAAATTATTTTTAAAATAAATCTAATGGTAACAATATAATATATTTATTTATCGATTGTCTAAATTGCGAGTGTACGCATAATTATCCTATGAAACTTAAATACTAATGATTCTAATACTAATATAATATAATTATGATGTATATAATATAATAATCTAATATGGTGATGGCGTAACATTGCCAATTTTTTCGGTTGGCTAACACATTAAGGAGGCGTCATGTAGGCACACAAACACACACACACAAACAAGTACGTGTTGTGTGTTTTCGTGTTATAAATGTATAATATATTTTTATGATTTTTTTTTTATTTCTGTTCCACACACGGAGGTTAGGATGGTCTAGACCTTGAGGATGACCAAGTCACCGTCTTCAGTGCCACCAGAAGACGACTTAGGTGATTCGGACTCGAACAGGGCGGTGCCCTGTGCTGAAAACGCACCTGGATACTCGAACGATGGGCTGGCTTTGGGGTAAGTGTAACCGGTTGCGGCCGATGGATAAGCTAGTGGCTCGCTGGGCCGGTCGTATGAATAGCCGGCGGACGCGGACGGGACGGCGGCAGGGGCTGAGACCACACCGTAGTCAGTGGATGGTACTCCTAGGGACTGGACAACAACGTTGTGGTGCTTGTGGCCACAGTCAGCTGGGTGCTTGGCATCTGGCGCGATGGATATCTCGTTCTGACGAGTCTCAACCAACGTTTCGGTGCTGGGCTCGGGCTCTGGTGTCGTGGTGGTGGTTGTGGTGGTAGTCGTGGGCACGTGAACGTGTTTATCACAGTTCTCAGCGGGGGCTGCAGCTGGTGCCGGTGCGATGTATGGTCGGAGGAACTGTGGTGGTGGTGTGGGAACGGCAAACCTCTGGACGGCCACGGGTTTTCGCTGTTCGGGGTATATTTCGTTGTCGCTGATGGATACTGTTACCTGTGGCTTGGGTGGGGGGGCGAAACGTGGCACGAAGAAGGTGGGCTGTGGCTGAAATGTGGGCTGTGGCTGGAACTTGGCCTGGTATGGTGGCAGGAGTCCGGTGTCCACGACGTGCACGTGTTCGGGATGGTCGCAAGCTGGTTTGGCGGGCTGTACCACTGATACCGTGTTGATGGACTCGGACGGGTAGTATTGGCTCTGCGGTGGTGGTATGTACGCCGGTGCCGCCGTGGACGGTCTCAGTGTGGTAGTCGTGGTCGTGGTTGTGGTGGTTGGTGGCGGAAGATACAGAGGAGCTTCGTACGACGGTGCAGGTTTGACGACGGACGGCAGGTTGTCTGAGGCTTGACCTTCCGGTGTGGCAGGGCCCACTCGCTTGCCGAACATGTAAGTGCCTTCTGGTACGTTAGGTCTTATCTTCTCACCGGGCAAGTTGAACAGATACCGATAGAAGGACAGTGAACAAGGCGTGCTGGTCTGCACTTGGCCGTAAACTTGGCTCGCTGCCACAACCAACAGTACCAACGACATTTGGCCGAATCTGTTCATGATGTTTTACCTGGAAAACAGCGAAAAACCTTATGTTAGTATATACGTCACAGCCCTTAAATAGTTTCAATATTATTACAACAACACGCTACATAATATTAAGTATATAATTATAGGTGCGATTGAATATGGAAGAAGGAATTTAAGGGTTTAGGATAGCAGTTATTGTTCCGAGTTTATACCATTGCCGCACGGATATAAAAATAAACACATAATATAATTTTGTTACCAGTGATGAATTATATATGTATTATAATTAAAAATTACTATTCATAACTATTTTACTATCCAGATAAGTAATAAGTTTTAATACTTAGATACTTATCTGATGGTCATCTTAGATAAAATATACCACTACCCTATAATCTAAACATTTTAATCATGGTTGTGTTATAAGTTATAACTTACAAGGTATAGTAAGCCATAAAATATTATATTATAAAATCATAGATTGCAATTTTTTTGGTTGACTGTTTGAATTATTTATGTTTGAATTATTAATTAATTATAAACATAATATAATATTATGTATTTACAATGTGCTTTTTATAATATATAGGTCTTACTAATATTGTATAGACTTATTTAAAATATGATCGTACTACAATGTAAGAATAAAGAATATATGTTAATTTTAATATAGGCGTAGATACTGAGTTATATTTTTTAGGTTAATGATAACCGTGTAGTAGTGTTGTTAGTAAATCAATCTACCGATCGACCACAAAAGTACTAAAATTATCATAATGTTATTGTTTTGTCGATGGTTGGATTTTGTATTTTGGTACCTAGTATTAAGACACCTATCGTTTGAAAGTGGTCCGAGCCTATTAATATAATAATATCATACATCAGCTATAAAAAAAAACAAAAACACTAAATTAGTAACAGTGGAACTGTTTTACACTCACGTGCCAACTCCCCTGGGTGAGCAGGCATATACAATATGTATTTATATATGACTTACACCTATAATAATTCATCACGGATGTACCGCCGACACGATGAGCTCCGACGATTGCAAGTGCATCATAATATACTGGACGACAAGCTGTGTACGCCAATACTGTGTTTAATGGCCGGAGTTTATTTTTTTTCATTATTATTATTACCTTAGCCATACCGTGGTCAGTGACGCGAGAACAGCTGGACTTTTGGACCACGGCCAGTTCGGATATATCATGTATAATATTATGCCGAACGGCGTACACGGTTCTTCTTCTTATTATTATTATTATAATATTATGTTTCGTTGGGTTTCTACGAGTATGTCCACCGATGATAAATCCCGTATGTAAATTCGTAATCAAAACCGATAACTCATTGTGGCATATGCTTGCGCCAGCCAGCTACCTACTTTGATTGGACATATATTACATTTAACTCGAGACATGCGGTTATGTAATGTACGAACGTATTTTATTTTCAACGGTGTGCAGTTATCGAAACCACTATTGATTGTATCGCTGGTACTGCTTTCGAGAGTTTAAACACTTTAGTGAGCGTGTCATATTGCGCATGCGTACATTATAATATCATATTACCGACTATTAGATATATATAGAAGTATAGAACTGTGCAGAGGAATATGATTGACCGTAGGACTATGTAACGATTTTCGGTATAGTCTTAGATAATATTATTACCCGACAGGTAAAAAGTAAACCCGGTCATCTCGGATGGCGGTGACTTTTTTTTTATCGTCCCGGATTTTGAAACGGGTTATTCGAGTTTTTATTTTTGGCATAATATCGGGGAGAATAATATTGCATACGAGATCGTTTAATTGAAAAATGTGGAAACCAGTTGCAACAAACTCGAGGGAAGATTATACATTTTTTTACAAAATTATTGATTTTTTCTCTTTGACATTCCAACCACCTGCCTATTTTTTGGATTTACGCAACAACATTGTGTAACTCCCTTGGAATTTGTCACATCCTTCCTTCGACGTGGTGATGTTATCCACGACATGCAATTCAAGAACAAGAGTCGTCTGCATTTCGAGTTAATAAGTACCAGAAGTATTAATTTCGTTGGACCTTGGCCCAGTGATGATTTCTCTGAATTTATGTCACTACTACGTTTTATAGTTTAAACTAGTTTTGGACGATCTTCCCAATTATTGTAATTTTAAAACGAACATCGAAATATGTTAATTTGTTTTTCAGTACTGTTTTAAACTAACAATCATAAGTTGACTAAAAACCGTCGATATATAATATATCAAACATTGTATAATATTATTTTGTTGACATTTTTAAAATAGCACAAATTATAATAAAGATTTTACGTATTTTAAAACAATACCTAATTTTTTACTCGCATATATTGTCACTGTTTTACTCTTACAAACGTACAACGTAGCAAATTTGAGATCAGTAGTTTAAATAGTCGAGTAAATAGGCAATATGTTACCAAACTTAGTTTAAATTCTCAGGTATTCTAGTTTTAAATCGGTTTATGAGTTAGCGGTAAGTGAAAATGCACAGTTTAAAAATTATCATAATATATAGCTTTTAAAAATATCGAAACAAATAAGTCTTCTTAATAAATACCATATTAACACAATTTCTTATTATGTTCTATATAGCGCAGGTGTCGAAAATTATCAAAAATGGCCATCTAAATAATGATTTCAAACAAATGTAATTGGAAAGAACGACAAATATGCTGCCATTATCAGTCTCAAAACGTAGTTATAATATTATAAAAGACGACTTCCAATCATGAGCTTAGTTTGCATTGTTCATAATATTTTTAACAAAACTTATCTCAATTTTTATTGGTTTTTTCTCCCATCCATTGGTTAGGTGTGTGGAAAGTGTAAACGGATATTTTTTTTAGATTAAACCTGAGAATTTAGGTGTGATTGAATGTGACCTCGGTGTTCGATAAACTAAGCTTCGGAAAATAGCTGGCCCTATCGATTCGTGAATATTATTAAAAATTACCGTGGCGCACACATTAATGTTTATACAGTGGATTTAATGACGTTAAAATATAATATATTATAATAGTTTTTGACCGTTTCGCTATTCATCCGGTCGGATTGTCGGAACGGTCAGCGCTCGTTTTCAAAACGGAAGTCAGGGACGTTTGGATATATTAGACCGCTGCCTGGGGAGAAAAACGAATAAATAAAATGTAACAACTATAACAAAAAAAAAAGTCATATTATACCAGGGTGCAATACGAAATACTACAGGTGGACCACGTGCAGCCTGGATACCTGGTTTAATCGTCGCGATTTGCAGGAGGCGAGACGAACAGGCATTACCGCTGTTGTAGTTGGCGTCTCGACTAAAGTAAAAAACAAATTTAATCACTCGCCCATGTGTTGCCCGTGGCTGGCCCGTGGGGGGGGGGGGGCAATCAATCATTCGTCGTCCAGGCGCGTCTCTGCACATAATCGACGACGAGTGCATTCTACACGGACGCACATATAATATAGAAGTCACGCGGAAGTCGTCGAGTCGATTAATATTAATAACGATAATAATAATAATTGCGTGCCAAATGTTTTCATTTTTCGACACACATATTATTATAGGTATGCGTCCTACACGTCGAATCACCTTTCGACCAGACGCTCCCGTGACGTAACCTTCTCCTCGGTGGCCAAAACACACTATTACACGCGGCTGCATTGCAATAATGACGACGACGACGACGAAGTTAATAATGTTATGCGCGTTACTGTTAATAGGTACCTATACACACATTATACACGCGTGTTACGACACCCGTTCACATATTATATTATAAATTATTACCATAACAATGTTAACGTTACCGGACCAACGCACATGCAGTCATCGCCGTAACGCGGTTTATCCTCAGATCGTATTTACGTACAGGTATATTATGATCTAAGCGTTTGTCCGTTTCGAGGCACACGTTAACTAGATTGATCCGACGTTCTTCGGCTCTGACGGTGTAAATCATTTTTTTGCGAAAAATAGTTTGGACGATGGCCATTCCGGTCCCCTCGACTAGATCGAATGTTATATATAATTTACGGTTTACCCACACGCTTCACGCTGTAATAATATACAACTTGTAAACTTTCTTAATCAAATGCATTGTGTATATAACACTATATTTTATGACTTATTATCTCGACTTTTGTTAGCAATGTTTTGAGGCACAAATTACACAATAGATTTTAAAATGTTAGTAATAGATCGACTAGTAAAAAAAAAAAAAATCTAGAACAAAAAGCAAAGACGCTATAAATATACGAGTAGTACAAGATTAATTTTAAATTGAAATTTATTGGTTTTGAGTACACAATACGAAATACGAATATCCCATAATATACCCCATACATTAGACGTGGGACGAACTCAGAAATATGGTCTCGAACCGAGCATTTTAACAGTTAGTCGAATCGAACTCAAACCGAACTTTTTAATCATATGTCGATCAGAACAATAATTCAGTGTGATGTCGAACTCGAACAAAACGATATTATGTTAAACTTCGATCAGATCCCATACCAAACATTTAGTTTAATATTCAAACCAAGCTTTTGAATAAAAATTACAACTCAAACTTATTAGTTGTATGTCAAACGAAAATATAAAACATTTTTTGTTCAAAACTGAACTCCAATTGTTTTTGGAATTTGTACATTTTTCAAATTAATTGTTGAATTTCGAACTTTTTGTTAAACGTTGAACTTTTTGTTCGTTCAGTTTTTTTAAGACAAAGTTCGATCCATATCTAATATACATGTACAATATATTAATATATTATTTTTCTATCCAAAAAACGAGAATATAATTGAAAATCTCGATATACTATATAGGTAAATCAAAAATCTTGTAATAATATTTTCATGATTTTTACTTTAATAGTTCTTAACTCAAATTTACTGAATAGCTGTACTAATTATAATATAATGTTATTAGGTATTACAATACACAAGAATACTGCCTTTGTAGTAGGACATGTAGGTAAGTCATCGATAACATAATATTAACAAGTAAACTTTT